TTCGTCCACAAGTTGTTTCACCTCGTTATTAAGCCAAGTGCATAATGCAATGCCACGTTGGCACGTGGTCTGCAACTTCCACAGCCACTTTATGTTTTCCACCTGCTCTCTGGTATTGGCACCTATAGTCTCAATTGCCACCACATAGTCATCTGAATCTCCACTTTCCCCGTCACTATCGATCTGAATCTCAATCTGCTTTCCACGTAACCTTTCACGCAGTTGTTCAAGTGCACGGTCGATCGTCGGCTCAGGGAGCCTGTAGCGCACATTATCGGGAACAAAATTTGGGTCCACAGACCACGAAAGTGGTTTCCCAACGGCTTTTCCGAGCACCTGAAAAGTCACAAGGAACGACCCGATCTCACGCAGGCCCGGCTGGATCTCTTTCAGTGAAGCAACCACTTCACACACATCTCTTTCGCGCAGCAAACCACGCAACTTGATACCTTGATTGTATTCTTTTTTCAAGTCAGACTTAGCTTTCGCTCGCACTTTCTTACGATTCAGTCGAGGGCGCCCGACTGGCACAATCCTTCGTTCAACTTAATATTTAGAGGAGCACTATCTCCTGACGCGCGCGAAAGTCGTTCAGCCGCTACAACTGGCTGTTCGAGCGATTGTTGAGTAGGCGGTACTTCATCGGGATCATCAGCCCTTTCACTGACAGCATCATTACCACTGACATCACCACCACCGGAAATACCACCACCGGAATCACCAGCACCAGAATCACCAGCACCGGAACCATCTTCACAAAATTCCCCACAGCTTGGGTCACCGCTACGGCCAGCACATTTACATGCATCTCCACCTCTATCTCCATCTCCTTCAGTTTGATCATGGTGTTCAATATTGCCACGGGATTGAGGTGGCGGAATCTCAACATGTCCTTGCCGCAAATTATGCCACCATTCGTCAAACTGAGACATTGCACTGTCAAACTCGACGTCGTCAAACTGTGCTAGCTCTCCACGGATCCGACGAAATGCTTGCTGGGCACGCCGATACTTCTCTTGCTCAGGTCGTTTCTCTGCAGAGACCTGTGGCTGCTTAAAAACCTTGGCCACGAACGGTTTGGCCACTGACGATAAATCTTGCGTAGACAAACGACTCTGTCCATACCATCTAGAGAGAGAAATACAGTCACAGCCAATAAAACATGGTTAATATCTGGATAATACCTGTACATTTCATTCAAAACCTGAATGAAACATGGAAATACATGGACATACCTGGAACCAATTGCAGCGTACGGAACCACGAACGGACTGTCTGTTGACTTCCTGTAGACCATTGCATGTCGGCACGGAAGCTTCATAGTCTGCGCGAGCTCGCAGTCACACTGCCAGGACTCCTGTTCCAGCATGTATTATTGCTCCTCCCGCCGTAAAGTCACCGTATCTCCGTTGTCTACGATAGCGTAACTGCTCGCCACGTCCTGGTCCACGGCAACATCATATTGTGTCTTTATAGCAGCAGCTCCCCATCGCGTCGTCATGCCCAGCACAACGTTCATCTCCTCCGTGTATGTAGCATCACGTAACGTTCCTGGCATCTCCACCTTGGCGTAGTATTCCTCCTCCTTTCGCCGCTGGTATGATAGTAGCGCTTTTAAGCTGAAATTCATAGAGAAATGGCCTTTGATCTGCTGCTTCACTTTGCCGAACAAGCTCTCTACACGGCTGTTTGTGTGATTCTGAAAGTGAGGCAAAGCAACACGATACGCCATGACCCACATGTCCTTGCAATTTTCCCAATTCTTTTGAAAAAAATTCCACAAATCTTGCCGTCCTCCTCTAAGCGACATACACTTAAACTCGTCACGGTGAGTCACGTAATCTGCTTCCGTCCTAGCGTAGGTCATGTTCGTGATCGAGTGTTTCATTTGGGCCAGCACGTCCGCTTCATAAGCTCCGTATTTACTCGACATCCGAATCGTGTCATGTAGCCATTTGATTACGTGAAAGTGGCATAGCAAAATGCGCGCCTCCGGCAACTTCTGCCGCAGAACTTCCACCTCTCGCATATCCTTATCCACAATCACAATCCGCACGAAACGCCAGTGCTCATTTGCACGCTTGAAATGGTCAATACTCTTTGCCATCTGCCAGTCGCCGTTCGTCTCTAACAAAGAATACTGGACAGGCTGTCCATTGCCAAACTGGTCCATCGCAACCATCGAGAGTAACTGATAGTTGTATCTAGTAATGGAAGAAAAAAAGATAAATACCTGAAAAAACATGGACAATACATGGAACTAAAAAAAAAAACAGCTATGACTTACTTGTTCGTCTTGTGCGTGCAGTCCATTTGAAGGACCTCGCGAAAGCTGTCCAACATGGATCGCATGTGCCCCGTCGTGATTGAAATGACCCCGGTGTTTCCACGCGCACTCTGTATACGACGACTACGGTCTGCGAGACTCATGCTAAAGGTCACGATGCTTCAGCTACTGAGCGTCATCATCGGACACGTTCTACACCTAAGGTAATCAAAGTAATCATTAGTACGTGATCACCATAAAGCAAACAAACTTACGAACACACCAAACACTTACCGGAGCGACGCAAGCGGGCGATCAAATTTCAGACGTCTGCCATTGTCACGCGGTGCTCTGAGTTTTCGCGAATGTATTCGTAGATACTTGATGTCGTGGCCTCCGATTGCATCAGTAGCTCAACGCCAGGAACCAACGGGGACTGCGTAGATACCTGTCGAATACCTGGGTAGAGCTGGTAGATCTCTGGAGAAACCTGGTGGCTGTGAGAGTAAATTTCGCGCTTGAGAGCTATTCCCCACAAACCATTATCCATGCAATTAACCTGCGCAAGAAACTGGAAAGGACATTCGGTCCGCCGAAAATTGTGCGACGTGCGCTTGCCTGTCGATCGCTCACGCGTAGGCCACCCGTGAGTACAAAGGTACTTGCGCTGATACGGACCCATGTCCCCTGGGACGAGTGGGATCTCCTCTTCCGGGAGATCTTTGTACTGGAGCTGGTTCGTGAGTGCTGAGTTGCACCGAGTGACACTTATCACCTCCTTCACGACAAGCACTTGTCGCGTCGTCCCCATATACATCTTGAGCCCGTGCTCGAATGTTGCCCAGGTAGTATGCTCCTCCTCAAACGGCGGAACGGAAACGAACAAATCGTCATCAACGTCTGCAACCGAGCGCTTCTTTCCTTGCCGTGGAGACGGCTTGACGCTCATCGCCACATTGCTCCGCCTATTAGCAGTGACTTCTTGTTCAGTCTTCTCTTCCCCTTTCTGCACAGCCTCCGGCTGTGAAGCGGTGGCGCCCTCGTTATCGCCTGGTTCGTCGTCATCGTGTGCTTGGCCTTCATCGCCGTCGCTTTCCAGCTCATCAACTTCTTGGTCGTCTTGACCGACTCCATGGGGGCTAAATAACGGCGTCGTTGCCTCTGCTCGGTTCTCCCTTGCGCGTTGAATGGCTACTGCTTTCTCGGACCTAGTGCGGGCGTTTCCGATGTTAACACGATGCATGGTATCCTATGCAGCAGCTTCCTCTCGGACTGCCGCTGCCGCGCGGGCTCCTCTTCTCTTAGCGCCTCCTCCGCCATTTGCTGCTTGATATGCGCGGTCTTGTGGGTGCGAGCCATGGCGCTGTAGGCGTTCGCCGCGAGAGGAAGAGCTGCCGCGTGCCTTCTTTTTCCCCGGATGAGTGGCTGGGAGATCGACGAAAATTAAATACGGAACGAAAATCGGTAATAAAAAAACCTGGTCGATACCTGATGTAATATTTGGGAAATACCTGCTCCGAAATACCCAGACGTGAACGTTGCCCTTCTTGAATAAGGCAATAAGGTCGAGGGTGTTCGCGATGGTGCTATTATTATAATTTAAAGCATTACAGAAAGTACTTAAATGTATTAAAGGTAAGTGAGTCACTTGTT